TAATTCTGTTGTGGTGTTGCTTCGTCTTCGAGAATTGCATCATCTTCCAGATTATGCAACTGGTGGCGTACAAGTGACTGTTTGGTTTGAAGGACATTTTTCTAGTGCCGTTCAAACCCCCATTGTGCGGCCAAATGGAGGCAATCCCCAATTTTCTTTGACTCAGATGTATCTCTTTGGACCGCACACTGAGGAACTTGAGAGTTTTTTTCAGTTAGATGTATTAAATTTTCGTGTGGATGGTATTTTGGCTGAATAAGACGCCTTGAACAACGGTCGCAAGACAGAGGAATTGGGGGTTTGCTTGACAATGTCCTTTTTTTTTTTGGCTTCAGGGTTGCCGCTTGCCGAAATTCCTGCCATAAAGTTATATTTTGCTTGCGTTGCCTGTTGTCTCCATTCTTGAAATATCGGGCCGAAGAGTCAAACCGTGAAAAACGCTTGGTTTTTTGTGCGTCTCTTCGCTTTTTTTTTTTTACTTTATTCCAGAGTTTTCTGGGGTGTAGGAATGGGAGACTTGGCTGGGACCACCGGTCGCGTTCAAGTGAGTGTTCGCGTCTGCCCTCCCCGGCAGGGTGAAAAGGAAATAGTCCACGCTGACGCGGATGACCCACGTGCTGTGTTGATTGACGCTGAGCTTGCTCGAGGCGCCACCATGTTTAAGTTTGACCGTGTGTTTAGTGGAGGTCAGGAGGAGATCTACGAGGCGATTGGACGCCCAATGCTGAAGGAGGCATTTGAGGGATTTAACGTTTGCCTCTTTGCCTATGGGCAGACGGGAAGTGGAAAGACGCATAGTCTTTTTGGTGATTTGGACGACAAGGAAGGCCAAGGCGTGGCTCCGCGCTTTGCGCAGGACATGATTGAAGAGGCGCAGCTTCGTGTGGAGTCGGACAGCGCGGCGACGATCAAGTTTTTTGTGACGATGGTTGAGGTATACATGGAGAAGGTGCGTGACCTCCTTGCTCCCCGGGTGCGGGGTCAGGAGCCGGAGTCGCTTGAGGTGCACGAGGATAGTCAGCACCGCGTTTACGTGAAAGGTGCGGGGGTGCACTCCGTGCTTAGTGTGGATCGAATGCTGGAGCTTCTTAGGAAAGGCAACGCCAATCGCCAAACAGGGGAGACAAAGATGAACGAGACGAGCTCACGGTCTCACGCCATTATTCAAATTACCATCTCTCAGAAGTATGGTTCTCTGGAGATGCGGGATGTAGAAAGTGTGGTGTTGTTGGTGGATTTGGCTGGCAGTGAGCGGCAGAGTAAGACGGAGTCCACCGGGGTCGCATTTGAGGAGGCCAAGAAAATTAACCACTCACTCTTGATGCTGGGTCGGGCGATGAACTCATTCAGTGACCGTAAGGGAGGCGATGCATTCATTTCGCTGCGCGCCTCAAAGCTAACTCGTTTACTGTCGGAGAGCTTTGGTGGTAACAGTAAGACGTGGATGCTTGCAACCGTATCTCCTGCAGCAACCAACTTGACAGAGACCGTCTCCACCCTGGAATACGCTCAGAATGCCATGGCCATAACAAACAAGGCGAAGGTGAACAAAACAGCGAAAGCTCTTGAGTATGATGAACTACAAAAACTTGCTTGGGTCCTTCAGATGCGCTTGGATGACGAGGTAAAGGGAATATCTGCATTGGACGCACAGATACACGGTCTTCGTGAGGAAATTGAGTCTGTGAAGAGTAGGTTGGAGGTTACTAGTGATTCAAAAGTGGAAAGGGAATTGAAAGAAGCGCTTCAAGAGCGAGAACAACTTCTGTTGTCATTGAGAAGGAGTTTAGCTACCCAAAATGGGACAAGTGGTTCCTCTGCGGCACCTGTTTGCTTTTCTGGAAACTGCAAAACATCCTTGGCGAATATACCGTTTGGCTCCTACGAGGTCACAACTCTAGTTGTACCGTGTTATATGTTGATAGGACCCCCACCTCTTTTGGTTTGTCATATTCATGTTTACCTTACTGAAGATAATTCTGTTGTGGTGTTGCTTCGTCTTCGAGAATTGCATCATCTTCCAGATTATGCAACTGGT